CCTGTCCCTCCAGTTTTACCTCCCATTGCGCTGCCTTTGAGACAATTCCAATACACAGTGACCCTATGTTATTGTTGTTGTGAAGTGCCGTCAAGTCAGTTCCAACCCATAGTGACCCTGTATAGGGTTTCCAAGGAGCAGATGGTGAGCTTGAACTGCCGACCTTGCAGTTCAAACGGCTTTGCAGTCTGGCACATTAACCCACAGTGCCACACTAGGACTCCATAGTGACCCTATAAGATACAGTAAAAATGTCCAACACAGTTTCCAAGGCCATAATCTTTATGAAGGAGTTCTGGTGTGGCGCTATGGAGTCCTGTGTGGCACTGTAGGGTAACACTGGACCACAAGGTTGGTTTGAACTGCAAGGTCAGCAATTCAAACTCACAAGCTGCTCCCTGGAGACCCTGTACAGGGCCACTATTTACGAATCAGGATGCTAACCTCAAAGTCAGCAGCACGAAACTACCAGCTGTTTCATGGAGAAAGATGAGGCTTTCTGCTTCCGTAAACATTTACAGCCTCAGAAACCCTATACAGGGTCACTAACAGTCGGAACTGACTCCAAGGCATATAGCCACCACCTGAGTTGGAATCAACTCAACAGCACTTAATAATCTTCACAGAAGCAGATTGCCACATATTTCTCCTGAGGAGTGCCTCATATGTCCAAACTGCCAACTTTTCAGTTGGCAGTCATGTGCTTAAAATTTTACCTCCCAGTAGGGTCACTATTGGAGTCCTGATGTGGCACTGTGGGGTAAAGCATTGGACCACAAGGTCGGTTTGAACCACACAGAAGGTGGTTCAAAATCACCAGCAGCTACTTGGAAACCCTATACAGGGTAGCTATGAGTCGGAACCGACTCAATGACACTCAACAAAAACAAGGTTGCTATTGGAGTCCTGCTGTGGTGCTGTAGGATAAGCACTGGACCACAACCACCTAGGTCAGTTCAAACCCATCAGCCGCTCCTTAGAAACCCTATACAAGGTCACTGAGTTGGAAAAGACTTGATTGATGACACTTAAAAGGGTTGCTATGAGTCTGAATCAACTTGATGGCAACAGGTTTGGTGTTTTACCCTTTAAAAACAGTCATGACCACTTAGGCTAATCTACTCCTCACTCTAAAGCCATGCCATGTCGCAGGCACTACATCTTGGAATCTTACAGCAATCAATTCATGGGATCTTATCACATTCCTTTTATACACATGTTGTTGTTATGTACCGCAGAGTCGGTTCCGATTCATAGCGACCCTGTACAGGGTTTCTGAGGCTATAAATCTTTATGGGAGCAGAGAGCCTCATCTTTCTCCCACGGAACAGCTGGTAGTTTTAAACAGCTGACCTTAAGATTTGCAGCCCAATTCCTAACCACTAGTTCACTGAAATTCACACGCTCCCTGGGTACACTATAATTTCTCTATTGTTAATATCCTACCCCACTCCATAGTTGAGAAAAATGGCAAAGGTACACATCTAGTAAGAACTGTTGTCGCTAAGTGCTATGAAGTCAGTTCCAAGGAGCAGCTGGTAAATTTGAACCACCAACCTTGACGTTCAAACCAACCTTGCAGTCCAGCGCCTTATACTGTAGCACCACACCAGGACTCCTCAAGTAAGAATTGTTGTTGTTGTTGTTAAGTGCCATCGAGTCGGTTCCGACCCATAGCGACCCTGTACAGGGTTTCCGAGGGTGTAAATCTTTACGGAAGTAGAAAGCCTCATCTTTCTCCCGCGGAGCGGCTGGTAGTTTCGAACCGCTGACCTTAAGGTTCGCAGCCCGATTCGTAACCACTACGCTACCAGAGCTCCTTTCAAGTAAGAATAGGGACTAGGAATTAAATACAGACTCTATGGAATGTTTTCCTAGCTCATTGAGTTAACCTACCCTTGAAAGATCAACCTCTCTGATCATTTAAAGAACTTTCTGTACCACTTATTTTAATATTCTTTTTTTTTTGTATTGTTATTTCAATTTGTAGTTGGATAGAGGTATGATGTGAGAAAGAAGGCAAGGCACAGAATAGAAAAATATCAGATTTAGACATAAGATACACATAGATTTGAATTCTGGCTCTGTCTCGTAGCAACTGGGTAATTTACCCTGAGCCTTCCTAATCTGTAAATTGAGGTTTATTTGTAAAATGAATAAACAAGAGAAACCTATGTATAGGTAAATATAGGTTCTATGGTAAACACTCAATACAGCTTCATTTACTCATGTTACATAGCATACCTTGGACATATCCTAGCCCCCTCCAAAGGATTACAAACCTTCCCCTTTCTGTGTCTCCACTGTGCCACTAATGTTAACTTTCACGTAATGTATTTATCATTGTGTTGGAATTATTCATTTTTCACTGAATTAAGTTCCTTAGGGCAAGAATTGAGTCTTATCTCTACAATTCCAGAACCTACCTAACATGGTGCCTAGTAAATATCCATACTCAATAAATGTTTGCTAAATAATTGTAAATAATGTGCTTATTGGATTCGAAAATAATTTCCACCTGTGGTTGCCCCAGAATGGTTGCGCAAGGTAACTTAAGCTAGGTTGTGAATAGCATCTTAATAGATGACTAAAAAATAGGAGAAAACTTCTAGGAAGAATTTCTTACAAAAAGTGATCAACCAATGAAAAGAACTAAAAACATTTGAGATGTTACTTATCTAGAGTAATAGATCAGGGGGATTAATTAAAGGTGGGTTGGTTTTTGTTGTTGTTGTTGTTTGCAAAAGTAGCTGGAAACTACAAGAACAAGCAAGTTGCTCACCCAGGAGCTATCAAGGCAAGTGGTCCGGTCCCCTCAGGGCAAACCCCCTTCCAAGACTAAGACTCAATGGGAATACAAGAGCAGACATAAGCTCTGATTGCTGACCACATTCATCACCGATAAGGGGAAGCGAGGGAAAATAGCAATGAAGCTGCGAGCTAAGCCCTACAATGTTCAATAGACTCCTGTGAACCCAGGTGGAGACCTGGTTGGCCAGCAGTGTGGCAAGAACTGGGGACTTCTGGGCCCAGAGTCAGTGGCATAGCCACAGAGGACAAGAGTGGAGAAAGAAGCATCCAGCTAATAAGAAGAGAGGGCACATGCCTAAGAACATTCACACTTGCAGATAATACCCATTTGACCTGGCTTCAATGACTGAATGATCAGAGATCAACTGGAAGAAGAAAGAAGAGGAAAAAAAAGAGTAATCGGATATAATTTGATGAACCTGACCTACATCTATGGATGCAGTAGCTCAAAAGAGGGAACAAATCTTTACAGTGAGGATCATACCCACCCCCTCCATACACAGAGTAGACAGGGATGGGCAACTTGGACACTAGCTACCCAAAATGGGGAGGCTACAAAGGCAAGAAGTGACTGACTAAGGTAGACTCTCCACTGAGTAGTATCCAATCTGTCTGGGCAGGGCTAATGAAAGGAGATAGGTCCCTTGTGGTACAATGGTGAATAACTGTTATCAGGACTGACCGTGAGGGTTGGAAATGTAAAGATGGACGTTTTGCAGCAAAAGGAGGGGAGTGAATGACTATGAATACCAGGAGCCGAGGTCCCTGGAACCATCAAGGTACTCTACCCAGAGAAGCAGTGATGCCAGAGATAGAGGCAGAAACAATTACGACCTGGAGAGACAGAGCGGCTGTGTGCTGACCACCAGTGGGGAGGAGGGCGGGTGAGGACAGGCTTGCAGGGTATACCCTTTGGTTGGCTGATGATACATGGAGGGGATTGTAACCATGGCAATGAAATGATATACGAAAGGATGAATGTAAAGCTAATGTTCTTCCATGTAAACTATCACATAATTCACAATAAAACACTTAAAAATTAAAAAAAAAAAAAGCAGCTGGAAAGGTTGCTGCTAGGAGTCAGACCAGGAGATGTGGAAGAACATTAGTGGGCAAGCACAATAAAAATAGGTATGAGCATGAAACTGAACACAAAGGGACCCTATTGGTCCCAGCAGGTTTGCAAATGTGTAAACTGCAAAAGATGAAAACCTTTACCAATGCTTCATCAAGAACTCTTTCAGCCAACACTCAGTGAATATCTTCTATGAGTTCTTAGACCCAGGAAGATGTTTTATTTCCTGTTCCAGTGGGTTTTTAAATTAGAGACACACCCTGTGTCAAAAATAAAATTAGAAAGCTAACTTCAAAACAAAACATAAAAACAGATTTGTATTTATCTCCCTGCTTGACTTTGTTCATTTCTGGATGTTTTGAACTTTGCTGATTTTGGTTTATAACATCATAATGCTTTGCACAGGGCCAGATACATCACAGACTTCAAAACCTACTTGCATCCATCCAGAATGAAGCTTAACCAGTTTCTGAGTCAACTTTTGGGTCTCCAGCTAAAGTCAAACTCTTGTGTAAACCATAACATTTATTTTCTTTTTTAAAAAGCTGTAAACAGATCTAAGAGACTCCTTACCACTGCCATAAACAAAAAAGTGAACCAAAGTTCCATCAGAAAAGCCTTGCTAGAAAAGAACGATTCGTGAGTTTACAAAAAGTGTTTAACTCTTTGGAGATAGGGAGGCGAAGGTGCACTAATAAACAAGGACCACACAGTCAGTGCTTTAAAAACTTGATTTTCACATTATGAGGATATCAAAGTGCCTAGACGCTGCCGAGTGTAGGGCCAGAAAC